TTAGGGTTTAAGGTTTAGGGACCTTGACCCTTAGTAGCCGACCTGTTGCAGGGCTTGTACAAGGAGACTATACTAGAAGGATCCTTGAACGGGCAGGTTTTACAGGGTCCAGGTCTAAAGGGTACAAAAGCCTCCTGAGAAGCACTAAATGCCAAACCCAACCTGCAATCCGTAATCCCCCCGTGACCCCTCAACCCTTGATGCCTAAACGCTTAAACCACTAAGCCCCAAACCCCTAAACCATCCTAAACCCTAAACCTAAACCCCTAGATACGAAACCCTAATCTCTTCAACCGAAGAGTCGCGAAACCCGAGGCCGGTGCCTTCCCTGCTGCGCGGCTTCTCTGCCCCGGTGAACCTCGAGCTCTTGGGCTCTTTTGGGGAGGGGGAGTTTCGGGTGAGAGTTTAGGGGTTTAGGGTTGCCAGGCTTTGGTGCTGGAGGTTTGGGAGGGACGATGAGATGGTTTAGGGCTCCGAGTTTCGGGACTGGGAGTGGAGGAGCTTTGGATGTCTGAGGGTCTGGGCCTGAAATGTGGGAGTTTCCGAAAATCAAGGGTACCTTATTTTGGGGTCCTTATATTAAGGATCCTATTATTTAGTCCCCTATTTTCAGAAACCCCCATGTAGAGTATAGCCTTGAATACATGGTTCACAGCTTCGTCTTGTGTTGGCCCGCATGCCAGACCTCAGGGAGTCGTAGCACTTCTCCTGCACGTTCCAAGAGACCGGCCAAATCAAAGTCCGCTATGAAGGTTTTTAACTAATCCCACGACGTTGAACCTATATCCCCCCAACTACTGCTATCGTTCGGCATCTGGATCTCAAGCACCGCGCAAGCCAGCAGATCTGAACAGGATGACCGGAGGCAAGGCACTGAAGCACAAACTTTTCAGAACCCTGAAGCAATCCCCGAGACAGTGAGAACTTAACATCCCAAGCACCCCAAGAGCCTGATGAAGATCTCAGCTCAACCCCGAAGATCCTACGGGCTCCGGACTCCATGAGGTATGACTACAACGACACGAGCCTTTCCCTGCTGGCGGGCTTCGACACCGATGCTTTCAACCGATGGGAGGTGCTTCCCGTGGCAGCACGGGGCGGCGGATTACGGAGTACCGCCAGGGGCTTTAGATGCGTCTTCCTTGTTCCGGGCGCCTGGGTTTTGTGTTCTGGAAGAGGCGCGCAGAGGCACCCGGATTTCCAAGACCCAAGCCATCACCCCAATGACCTTGAAACCCCAAGAACGCTACGACCCCAAGCCCCGAGGCCAGAACCTTAGACCCTAAGCAACCCGAACCCTGAACCTTAAAGCCCTGAAGCTTCGAACCCAAACTTTCGAAGCTATAGACGAAACACCCAAAACCCCCCGACACCCCGACACCCCAACCCCGCAAACCCGAGAGGACCCTGATAGAACTCCGAAAAAGAACCCGGACACACTCCCCATACCATAAAAAAGGGGGGCGGGCCCTGACCTGAAGACCCGAAGCTCCAGGCGACCCAGCGTCTGGGCACCAAGGCCAGGAAGGGGAGAGCTCCAACAGAGCTGGGCCTTCTCGGCCTTCGAGGGTTTGGGGCTCGGGAGTTGTAGAGGGTTGGGTATTTGTATTTGGGGTCTCAACTTTGAGTGCTTGGGTTTCGGGTCTGAGCCGATTCGATTCGAACCTAAACTCTAAATCCTCAGCCCTCAGCCCTGAACACCAGTTTCAAAAAAACTTCGGTACTGGGCCAATGGCCTGAAAGCTCATCGATCCAAGCCGGGGGTTCAGAGTTGAGGGCTCCCGATCATCCGGGACTAAGGCCCTTTACCAAGCCATAGCCGTAGTCGGCTGAACCCATCGGCAGAGCTTGACTGCTCACTTCAATCGTGTGAGCATCTCTCTCTGTCATATATATATATATATATACATACACAGATATTTTTTCTTATTTAATTTGTCTTCTGCATTGGTGAACACAGGAACATGCTTCTGTTCCCATTCATCCATTCCGTTCTTTGAGTCAGAATCTGAAGCTCTCGTCGCTGCCCAGCACCCTCCTGTCATGCCCTACCCAGGGACCCCGACTGAACCCCCGAAAGCCTTCCGAACCTGAGGTTCTTGTAAGGAACCCTAAACCCTAAACCTTACCTGTAGCCGGAAAGACCTACCGCTTTAAGGAACATATAGTAGAAACCATAGCCAAGGAGCCCGAAAAAGGTAGGTCTTTTCGGCTACAGGTCCCCAAAGCCATAAACCCTCGATCCCCAGCCTTCTAAAGGCGGTGCTGGATGCCCTGGCAGCTGAAGACCTGGAGTCCTTCAGGCGGAGAGCTCTTGTGAAGTTGACTGAAGACCTAAAGCCCCAAAGCCCTAAACCATCAAACATCTAACCCCCAAACCCTCAAACACCTACACCCCATAGCTTCTAAAGCCCTAAAGCCCTAAAGCCCTAAACCCTGGGGCTTACCAAGGCTACAGGGTTCAAAGGTTCCAGAGTTTCAGGGCTCTGGACAGGAGCCCCAAAGTCCCACTTATCTAGCAGCCTTCACACAAGTGGGAGTTTCCGAAAACAAGGGGTACCTTATTTGGGGTCCTTATGATAAGGATCCTATTTTTTAGGGTACTATATTAGGGTCCCCTATATCCGGAAACTCCCAAGTAACGCTTGGAGGAGCCCCGCTTAGCAACCCTCGTAGCGGTTGTGGTAGCCGTTCCGGCAATGCTTGTAGTAATGCTTATTAGTAACACTTACACCACACCTTATATAGTATGCCTCATGCCCACCCTAAGCCCCTGAGCCCTAAACCCTAAATCCTAAACCCGAAACCCTAAACCCTAAACCCTAAACCTTCAACGAGGATCCCGTGCCCAAAAAGTGCCAGGCCAGATGCCACCTTCATGGACGCCATGCGGAACACGCTGGCAGACCGAGCCACCGAGGACCTGGCTCTGTGCCTCGGGGAGAGATAATAATGGTGTGTATATATATATACACACCGTAATGGAATAAAGTATAACATGACATAGAATAACATAAAATGAAATAAAATAACATAATGTGATTGGTTAATATCATATCACACTCAGGGGGGCCTCGGCGAGTTGAGCTCCGTGTCACTGGGAGATGTTCGCAACTGAGGCTGGCGTATTCCCTGATCCTGCCGGCAGAGTCCACGCTGATGCAGATCGCCACGCCGCCGATCGACCCGACGAAGCTGCACAACGCTCGGAACCACGTCCGAAACGTCATCGCCAAAGAGCTGGACGCAGAGATCCGGGAGCGCTACGCCGAAGTCACGCCCAAGGACGACGAGCCCTATGCAGGGAGCTCAGCTACCCCCGAAACCCTTGTTCTGTTCTGAGACCTGTTTTTGAAGGCGTAGCGATGCATAACGGCGTAAGGTTGAGGCCACCGTGGCCATTTAAACATGCTCGAGAACACTGTCTGTTGTGTGCTTGAGTGGGGAAAACGTTTGTGTCTGGGATGCAGATGACAGTCTGCCCTATGCGATCAGCTGGGGCAGATGTGGCTTCTTCTGCTCCTACTGCTTGGCAGTTACTCATCAGACGCACATGGCGAGTTCGCCACGGTCCATGTTCTTACAGGCATTTAGCAGTTGCGTGTCGTGGAATGCTTTCGCAGCATCTCCATGGCTTCCCTTCAGCTAGAAGCCCTCAGATGGATCTATGACATAGGCTCTACAGGACACGATATAAATATGTACATGTTCTAGGATGGTTAAGGCTAAGCCGGCCTTGCAGGTGGTGGACGGCCCAAGCGCCAGCAAGAGGCGGCTCCGCAATGTGCTGCTAGGGTATCTCTCCACTTCAGGCGGGGCCGCGGGCCCAAAGGGAGCTTACCCCAAGGTTGGTCACACCTTTGCGGGACATCCTGTTAAGGTTTTACGGGTGAACAGTTGCTTACGGCTGTCGTGGGATCGAAGAGAAAGACTATGTGACTAGGGCCTCACGACCAGAGCCCGTCCCAGGCAACGCTGCCGCCGCAGAGCTTTGCGGGAAGCACTTCACCACCGTCACTGGGGCTGCAGAGATCATCGCCCAACAGTCCCCCCCCAGAGTTGAGATGGTCGCTTCTCACATTGCCGCTACGTTACTGGATAAAGATACGCTGAAGCCGCCCTTCGGTTTTGTAAGGCGGCCTCATCAATCCGAAAACCCCCCCAAAGTTAAGCCTCCCACGCCTCAAGTCCAGCCCCAAGACCGGTATAATCGGGTTGTGGAGATACAGCCCGAGGCCTCGGATTCGCCAGCAGCTTTCTGAAAGGATGCCCTGAACTTTAAGCCCTAACTTCTAGGCCGTGAGCCCTTGCTAGAGCAGGGCCAAAAGCCTCAAAAGTGCCCAAGCCCGAAATCTCTATCAAACATCCCCACCCCAAAAACCCGAAGGGCCAAGAGCACGCACTTCTTTACTTCAATCCCCCTGAAGTCCTGAGCCCTACGGTCCCTACAAGGCCAAGGGGATGACGGACAAGTTGGCAGCCTTCTCCTGCCTCACTGGCATGCCAGAGAGCCCTGAGGCCGGTTTGATGTTTTTTTTGGGGGAAGGACGGGGGCGCATTTTGGAGATCAGGAGAACGCAGGGCATGCAAGAGAGTGAAGGTTAGATTAGAGTAGATTAGATTGCAAAATGATACGATGCTTTCATCATGCTATACGTTACCACAATAATCCGCAATATATTCAATACTATTTAATACTGTCACTCTCCCCCTACAGTTATGTAGTTGTGCTATGGTGTACCGCAAAACCCTGTTCGAATTATTCAGGCCCAAACAGAATACCGCGGCAAGGGAAAACGGACAAAGCCCGAAACTTCAAATGCCAAAGGGGAAGCCTCACTCCGATCAGATAGCCGTATCTATTTCTATCCAGCTATCTGCATACATCCGTCTATCTACATCTATATCTCTATCTATGTATCGATATAGATATCTATATCTGTATGTAGAGGTATGTGCATATGTGCCTTTACAGTGTATACACATCTATTTTTACGTACTTGTGTACCGACATTTGCAGCTGTATTCATGTTTCTCTCACGTTGAGGCCAAAGCAGCCATCGAGAAGTTCCTGGCCGACGCCAAGGGCGATGCCAATGTCATCGACAAGCTCCTCGCACACGAAAGACGAAACGAGAGAACTAGAACTAGGGGAGGGTCTGTGGGTGAGTTCGGGCTGGCTGTGTTCGATTTTGCGGTATGGGGGGGTCAATGGTTTTTGGGCTTAATGGGTTGCGGGTTTAGGATCGGCTGTTTCTGCAAGGCCTGAAACCAGTACATGAGACTCCTGCATCTAGCATCGGGGTATAAGGAGCCTGAAATCCAGCTGGCCGCAGCCCTTGAAAACCCTGGTGCTTATTACAAGAAACTACAAAAGTACCACAGTAGTATTGGAATATACCATAAGTGCGCTATAGTATGCATATATGCATATATATATATATATGTGCATATAGACAGAGGACACAATGCTCAAGCATTCTGAGCCTCAGGTGGTTCGCCTCGCAGGCCAGGGCTGACGTGGACGACCTGCTGCCGCGCGTGCGCAAGCTGATGGAGCACCCGGAGCCCCGCGGCTCTCAGGGAGCCGGTTTACTATCTAGAATCTAGAATATCTAGAAAGTACTGTATATTTAAAAATATACTAAAACGTAAGAAGGGCAACACACATGGCAAAATCCCGACGTGTCACTCCAAACTCGTCCAGCTTTGAAAGAGCACACCTGTCTGGAGTTCCCAAACGCCCCATGCCTAGAGACGAACACAAACACAAACACACCTGCAAACAGAGGTTCTCTTTGAAGAACCCAAATCGGCTCCGTTCCCTCGTCAGCGTCTTCCTGACCACGCCGCAGCCGCCCGGAGCATGGGTGTAATGGGGAAATTGTCAAATTCAAAGGGTGTGGTGAGCCACGTAGGCGGCCTTTAAGACGATCAACTCCTAGTTTATGATCACTACATTAAGGGATTTTGAACTCAGCGCAACTTGACAATCCTAGTACCACTGCACTCTGCGTTAGATGGGTCGCCACGGGGCATCCTCGAGCTGTCTGCCAAGGGTGGAATATGAGTTCAGCGCGTGCTGTTACTACGGCAACAACAACTGCTGCAACTACTACGACGACGACTACTACTGTATTGCTACTACTGCTACTGCCGCTACAGCTAGTACTAGTATTACTATCATCAATACTGCTGCTACTGCCACTGCTGCTGCTCCTGCTCCTACTACTACACGACTGTTTCTGCTACCCTGCCTCGGCTGTCCACTCCTCCAAAAGCCGAGGTTTCATGCACCGGATGGCTCGGGCTACGACTTTGCATTGGCTGCTCGGAGCTGTGGTTTACCGGGAAACTTGCGTAAGAGGCCTGAAGCCTCCAAGCTTACTCCGAGGTGCCTGAAGCCCCAAAGTTTCAATGCCCTCGGCGAGGAGATACTGTAGCCCCCTGAAACCCGAAGCCCTCGAACACGGAGCTCTCCAACCCCGCGCCGAGGAGATGATCCCCAAGGTCGATGCCCTGAACCCGCAGGACGGGACGCTGTCCGGAGTTTGACCTTTCAGGGCCCTGGCGGTCGGAGATTTGCAGTTTCAGATTTGGTGCTCCTCATCATCAGGCTGAGCGGGGTCGGCGTTCATGCTTGGCGTCGTTGTCGGCAGTTTGTGGCTGGTTAGTAGTTGTGGTAGTTGCGGTTGTGGTTGCGTTATCTTCGTTGTGGTTTTGGTGGTCGTGGTCGTGGCTGTGGTGGTTGTTGTCGTTGTTGTTGCTGATGCTGTTGTTGTTGCGGTCCTTGAGGGCCCCGCCCCGAGATAAGATGTTAGATGCAACCTTGCTACACACTTGAAGCTCTAATGCTTCTAGACAAACCTAGTAGAACCCTAACCCTAACCCTTTTGCCCAAAACCCGAAGCTTCAAACTCTCAATTCCCTCTGGTTCGCAGGTCAGCGCGCGAATGGCCAACATGGCCTTCAGGACCTGGCCTTTGGAAGTTTGGGACGTGCTAAGTATGCGCTAAGTGTGCTACCAGTGAAACCAGGACGACTAGTACAACGGCAATGACTGCTTTGCTTGCTGCGACTGCTGCTAGTAATGCAGGCAATGACCGCATTCAGGGCCACAGAAAGTGCGATTGTGACAACTGCTTCCAAGGTGGGGTTTGCACAAAGCAGGGGGTCTTCAGTGTAGACCCTAGGCCAAGTGAGCCTAAACCCTGAACCGAAAGGACGCTGAACCCCAAATCCACACGACCCTGAACCCTAAATTGGTACCATAATGGCCTGAGCCATCGGTGCTGGAAGGATTTGGCGACGGCTTGATGAGAAGCGTCAGGCAGGCTGAGCTGGTACCTATAACACCGATCATCTTAGGTAGTCTCAAGCCCAACGATCTTGAACGTTTTTGTTGGGCTCTGTCCTGTCAGGTTGTGGGGGTGCATATGCGTTCTTCTGGCTGCGAGACGAATATCCCTATACCAGTGTTCTCGCTGCCCATGCTGTTCTTCTTGCTTGTGTAGATGTTTCCTGACACATGCAGCGAAGGCGGCGGGTTTCCATGTCTAACTATTTCGAAGAGCTGATCAGGTCGCATATGCACCTGCGCTATTCAAAACCTCCCATGTCTCCGGTTAGGTACCACTTTGCTTGGCATAGATCGCCCCAGTGATATATTATATTATGAGACTATACTATATTATGAAATTTCATGCTATATTACAGGATGGCACATTAGGCTGTATTCTATCATATTGCATTATACTATGTTACACTATTATATTTTATTATAATATATTTTATCATATTAGATTCTATTATACTGCTCCGTCCAAGCTGCAGGAGATGATCCTGGAACGGTTAGGGAAGCTGATGAAGGCACCAGCTTGCGTCGTGGTCGGTCTGCTGTGTATCGTGATGCTCCGTAATGGGATTCTAAAGGTTCTCGGTGGCCTGTTGTGTTTGTGATTTTTGGATGCTTCTGCGTGATCCCTGTCACGCCATTCGTGCTGTTCTCCTGACGAGCATCCTTTTGTCCTGTCTTCTTGCGAGTTGTAAACTGTTGATGAGCTGGTGGCGAAGCAACATCCCACCCAGTGAAACAAAGGCTCCAGGCTATGCATACCGATACCCTGGTAGGATCCCCTCGTCATCCCTTGTCGGCCGGGCCTTCTGACACAACCCTGCAGCGAACCGCACATCCCACAAGATTTCCCCAACAGCTCCCCAAACCCTAAACCCTAAACCCTAAACCCCAATTTCCCTAAACCCTAAACCCTAAACCCCTAAACCCTAAACCCTAAACCCTAAACCCCTAAACCCCTAAACCCAGCTGCGGCTTCCGCCGAAGCGGCAAAACGAAGACTCCGCAGGCGGGGCTCTCCAAAGATGCCGCCGAGATCGTGTCCAAGATGCGAGCGTGAGGCCGGAAGAGCTGCGCCCTCCTGGTGTTTGGCAGCCAGAAGTAGCCGAAGTAGCAGTACTACAGCAGCAGCGGTGGAAGTAGAAGTAGAGAAGTAAAGAAGTAGATAAGTAGAAAACTGGAGAAGTAGAGCAGGAGCAGGATGAGGAGGAGG